AGTCAATCACAAAAGACCTCAGATCCCAAAAACGAAAACAACCCATAAATCAGAAATCCGAAATTTACCCCGCAGATCTTGATAGGAGCTTCGAGCTCAAGGAGGTTAGGCTGTTGAAGGAAAATCTCTCTAGAGACGATGCAAAGCTGTCGGATCTCAGACTCGGTGAGCATAACCTGCTTCGTACCAGGCTTAGGGTTTCTGTAATCCAACAAACGACGAATGATATCATCGAGAACGGCAGGGTCCATGCTTCCCTGCCCTTGTTGCGCCATTCCAAACCAACACGATCCAACCACAACGCAATTATCTTACAAAAAGTTTCAAACTTTCGGACAAATAAATCGAAAAACTTATACAAAAAATTTCCAAAATCTTCATTCTCTCGATACTTTGGACCAGAAAAAAGTGTTCGCCTTTGTTTTCCCAAATTTTTATTTATTTTTTCTTTCCAACGAATTTCTGTGATGGGTGAGTTTATCGAAGGTTAGTGGTTATTTTTTTTTTTTCGCCCTTTAGTTATTTTTTTATTTTATTATTTATTTTGAAAATAAAATAGTCGAATAATAATAATAGGTTAATACAACTCTCTTTGCATATAATGTTATAATCATCTCTGTCCGTGTTCTCTTGCATTTCGGATGGATTTGCTTGTCCCCACTATATTAGCACATCACTTATGATTTTTTTAGTGATCTTTAAAGAATTATTTTTCATATATATAGTGATTCATTATGACCAAATTTTCTCTGCCAATTCATCCTCATTTTCTTATAATATATTGACTAACATGAATTTAGGAGTTCATTAGATTGAAATTGTAGTTTTATTTTCGATTTTTTATGTTAAAATCTTCTATTATTCAAATACATATAAGTTTACTCTAAATTGGACATTTTTTCAATTAATTTTCATTGGATATTAACCTATATCTTCGAATAAGAGTATCAAAAGAAATTCTCATTCGACTTAAACAAGACCAAACTTACAAAGCTTTGCTCTCGACTATTTTGAAATTGTTTTTGTGATCCTAAGGCATACCTAGAACCTTTTAAAATAGGTTCGGTCTATATTTTCCGTAGTTATTTTATGCTATAAGAAGTGACATGTAAGATGTTATTGTCTTCAATATCATCAGAAGTTAAATCATCATCAAGATCACCAAATTTTTCGTTCTAAATTTGAAAAAAGTGGATAAGCTTCGTGGATTGAATCTTATATCCGTCTTAAGATCATTAGCCCTCCATAAGAATTAAGATGTCAGGCTTTGGTTAAACCAACACTTTAGCTAAAACTAGACCAACATTTTTCTCTTTGCCTCCAACATCATGATCAAATAAACCTTCTTTAAACAATTGGAAAAATGAAACCCTTTTGTCTTTGTTTTCTATTTCCACAAAACCGTGAGTATGCGTTAAGACAAAACCGGAGTTGAAAAAGAAAGACCAGTTGTTTACTTATTTATTAACGAGAACTAACCGGAACATACCAATTCAAAGAGAGAACAAGCTTTTATCTTCTTTTTTTACTTAACACAAACCCATCGAAGATGGTAAGACGAGTAAATGAAGAAATATATTCTACATGGTCTTGCATCGTTATTACATTTCATCAGCCAAAACTTGAAGAGAAAAAAGACAGAGAATAAGCAATAGAAAATGAAAGTTTAAACTGTCAATTAAGTAGAGCAGCAACCTCTTTTGCCAGCTCCAGATGTGTCACCAACGTTAATCGTTGTTCCTTGCCCCGGAATCGCGGAATTAGCAGCCGCTGCTTCTTGAGCAGCCAAAGCTTTTTTGCTGATGATGTGGTAAATCTCTGCTAACACAGTTTGAAATGCTTTTTCAACATTGGTGGCTTCAAGAGCAGATGTCTCCAAGAAAGAGAGACCTTCTGTCTCAGCTAGAGTCTGTCCATCTTCCTCAGCAACTGATCTCAAGTGGTTTAGATCAGCTTTGTTCCCAGCCATCATGATCACTATGTTGGAATCTGCATGGTCTCTTAGTTCACGTAGCCACCTTAAGACATTGTCAAAGGTTTGTCTTTTGGTAATGTCATAGACAAGAAGCGCACCTACCGCGCCTCTGTAGTAAGCGCTTGTGATAGCTCTGTACCGCTCTTGCCCTGCAGTGTCCCAGATCTGGGCTTTAACAGTCTTTCCTTCAACCTGTATAACCATAAAACAATCACAAAAAAAAAAAGCAAAATAATCAACAACTGGTAAGATCTCAAGTAGCATCTCCGTGCTTGTGCGATAGTTATTCGTCTTGTTTCAAGGTTTTAAATGTCTCAACAATTAAAAACATGTCTAGGCATGAACACATTTACATACATCAGCTGATGAAGGTAATGTGTTGATGCGTTGACTTCATG